CTGACATCTTTCCGGGCATTTTTTTACGAAATAGAGTTGAATACAATGACTAAATGTGAAAAGCGCTTTTGTACAATTTACTAGCTAAAACTAATGCTACATAGCTAGTAAGCTAACTAAATAGCTGGAAACAGTAGAGTGATCGCACTTAATCCGTGCAACTGTACAAACTAAATAGTTCTTTTTAGTTGCATTTAGTAAATCGTGCATGCGGTACACACAAAAAATTGAATTGATACAAATGAAGCATTCAATACCGTCTTGCTTCAGTTCCACTTTTAGTACAAATTAATACTACTTAGATTTTGTACAGTTGCACAGTTTAAGTGCGATCACTCTAGTATTATTTTGAAAAGGTATTTAGTAATGTTTATGTTGCACAGTTTTCGTTTGTATTGCCTTTTTGATATGTCCTGATAATGATTGAGCGTTGTTGATGTAAGTGACAGCTCTTCTATTTCAACAAAACAAATATTCAGAGAATCATGAATTGTAATTATAGATAATTGTCGGAAAAATATCTTAAACTGATTGCAGAAACATAACAATAATGTTGAAATATAGATGAACTATAAAAACATGAAAGAGTACCAAATAGTGCTAAATAGCGCAATATCTAATAGTTTAGATTAGACAATAGAAAACTAAAAGAATTCGCATAAATAAATTCAGTACAATTTATAGCACTCAAAGCCAAAGTTCTCTAGTGCGTGATTAGAAATACAGCAAAGAGTAATTATTTGATGGTGAACAAGCACGAAACCTACAACAACAACTGAACAAAGATTTCGCCATATTGGCTCCTCGGTTTGACAAGTCATGCCACAAGATGCACATCCATGTCTTTATTTTTTGAATTAGTCGCCGTGTTTCCGTTAGATATCACTTAATAGTTTTTTCAAAACAGGTTGTATKGGAAGAACCGAGTCAATTGGGCATTATATTTTTTTGAGTGTTGATTGAACGAGCGAAAAGAGCTTCGTTAAGGATATACCTCATTCAAAAATCGTTGTCGGACGCCTCTTGAATCATGAATAGAAGATGTCTAAGGTTGAAAACTTATAGACCAAAGCATTTAGTGTTTTGAAGCAATAATCAAAATTCTAAAGCGTACAGATAAAAGTACATTCCATGTTCCCTTTGATATTTATATCTGATGGAGACTATTGGACTTCTAGCTCCAGGGTGTCCCATCATTCAAAGGAGGCGGACTAAGATTAAGCGTCTGTTCACTAAATAATGTAGAAAAGAGAGTGAAAGACTGTTKAGTGAATGAATACTGGATGAACAAATGGATGAGCGCATGCGTAAATTTATTTTTGGACGGACGATTGCATGAATGAGCACAGCATACAGCTKCCGATCTCTTGAAAAGGTTGTTCACCCAAAAATACAACATAAGAGTGTCAACATATGGGTTTGTAGTAAACATTTTGTAGCCAAAATATGATTATCAAAGTGTAACGTTATTACTTGCATAGCAATKTTCTACATCTATTGTGACACGAGAAAATGTTGTGCTAGCCAAACCCCCGCYTTGGTTCTATAGAACCAACATCTTGGGAAAAGGCCATTTTAGTAATGAAGATATGCATTCAGTTTCTGCGCGCGATGTAAACAATTGTCCAATGTASGTATAGAATTTGTAAAATTCTTTGGTATTTCGATTCTCCATTTAAATAGATCAACATTCTCGACTAATGAACACGATGGAACGGAAAGTGAATATTTTCAAGTCTCATTGCAATTGGAACACTGGGTGTGTCTTATGAGATGGACAACCTTTTCAAGATCCGATGTAGAATGCGTACAAAAGAAATAAARATATGAAATACTTATAACTGAAATGCTCATTACGTCAAATAGTATTTCAAGGGAAATAACCCTAATATTATTTAGTTAAATTTTTCATTTCAAACGAATATTGAAAATCTAGATTGACAGACATTTTATAGTACCTTAGAAAATTTGCGTCGCTATGAAAATGGATACTGTTACACCATAGATTTCAAATTCAGTATGAAAAGATATTTTCCAATTGTTTCCATAAATTCTCTGTTAGGGACCCAGGATAATTTCTGTACGAGAAGGGTTTTTATTTGAACCACGAGGTGAAATCGAATGCACGAAATTTTCGAGCTCTCACAACAATCCATATTAAGTGTTTCTATTAGAGAATAAAAACACGAAAAATATCCTCTAATGCAGTTTTATAACCGACAAATATTCGCTTCAAAGCCGTGTTTCTATGCTCTTATACTTTATAGAAACCTTTATAATTCGCTTGCTATGTAATAATTATAATTTTACAATAAAAATATATAAGTTCAAGGTTATATTTCGAACCGTTTTCGTGTTATTTGTTTCATACATGTTTTTTTCTTTTTCATTAAGCAAAGCGCATGTAATTTCGTTGTTTTTCTTTGTGTATGTGTGATTTCTGTTCCCCAATCACAATTATGGTCGGCTTCCGTGTAAACTATGTTTATATAATGYTACTTAATTGTATCGAATGGAGGAAGTCGCCCAATTGCAGTTTGTTTTTCAAGTGATTATAAATAATTATATCGCTGTAAACCAACGCAGCCTACGAAAACAACAAATTGACCACTTCTTTAATAWATATGCAAATGTTTCAATCACTATATATTTTCACTTCAGTAAAGTAGCCGCTGTTTTGCTAAATGCGACTGTAGTACTAGATAAATATATCAACTAAATATTCAAAGGCMCATTTGTGAATTCTATTCAAGAGGTTTGAAAAATGAAACAAATAATGCAAAATCGAGTAGTMCTATTCAATTTATTGAATTATCTGAATTTCACCAGTTTTCAAAAAGCTAACTATCTCCTCGGCTTGAAGTTAAAAAAAGGAAATTATTATTATTATGAAAATATGCTCTCATGAGTCGCTGTCGTACTAACTCTAATGTCACTAACTGTACCAAATTGAAAACGCAGCAATATTTTTATCCATTTTAACTTGATTTTTGTTTATATTTAAACAAAAATACCACAGGAGGTCAATTACCTTCAAAAATTGCTCAAAACAATGATTGAAAAGTTGATTTGTAAATTGTAAATATTATGAATAACAGTTGGTAGGGTCCACCTGTTGGGTGCAAGGATGCCCAACCTCTTACCTTCGCCAGACCTCTTTCCCCTAAAATTAACGAAGGATTTCCTTATACAAGATTTCCGCTTCCCCAGAAAAAAGTACTCAAAACTTGCTTTTTTATTGCTCCCTTCATGGGGGCGAGTTGTGTACTTCGGCTGAACGACTAAGTAAAGGCTGAATTCGCCCTGCAATGTGACTTTTTGGATTGTTCTAGTTTACTTGAGCGAATTATCAGCCGCTTTAGTGGCTATTGGCAAGGTTGTAGTCACACAGCCAAGCCTCAGAACTGACYATTGTTAAGTTCTAAATTTTGTTTATTGTTTGCAAGAGGAACTTCTATTGTTTGCGCCCATTGTTTTCACAACCAATCACGAAATTGAGTCTTAATTGTTATACAGACTGGACTCGAAGAATGTGGTGAAAATTTCTGTTGAAGACATCTGAATCAGTAAAACTGCCCAACTTATTTCGCTTTTACTTTATACTAAATAAATATTAAATTAGAAGAAGTTGAGAMTAGCAAGTTTCAGGAGGAGCCGACGGGTTCTTTTCTTCTAAATAGCTGTACTCCCTTTGTGTACGATTTCTTCCCTGGGAAAGGGATTTTTGAACTACATTGTTGACAATCTTACAGGCAAATGTGGCGCCCTTCCTTCTTTAAAATATTTTTTTCTGGCAAACGTTTTTAAGGTCAAAAAAGGTTTATAATAACGTTTTTATATGCATGGTCAAAAGTTCCTGGCAAAAGTTCTTAGAAAGTATCCCTTGCCCGGAGAGTTCTCTTTTTCCTGAATTTCTCGCTGGCAGCCTTCCAGTTGTGACTTACAGCTGACTGGGACATAAGAACAGATATATTTCTCCCAGGAACCCGTCGKCTCCTCAAAAAATTTGAATGAATTGAGATTTAAGCAGCCCGTTYGACGATCAAAGCCWAATATCCGTCTGTAAATTGAGAAGACCCACCGACCAATCCATTCAGTTTCCCACATTAGGCCTCATTATTTCAAATAGGTTTCAAAATTAACGATGTTTTTTTTCAAAAAAAAGGTTTATTTCCGGCGCAATGAATCCTTCACGTATATATGAGTTCGGTGAGACCAAAAGCAAAGCAACGCACTCTTTTCTCATATGTATCTAAATTGAGTATCCCTGRAAATTGGATCTCTTTCCGATGTTTGAGCTTGAGCTATTACACCGATGAAGAAAGGAAACAGTTCCTTACAAGAGTCACTCAAAGCAAAGACATTGATCAGTGTGACAAATTGGAAGTGAAAAATAAGCCTTGGAATTTCTTCGATCATTTTTTTTTTCTAGTTAAGATCCTTTAGTCTATTAGAGGAGATTGGAGTCATTCTGGCACACTTCAGTAATTAAAGTAATATATATGACCTTCGCTTTTTCAAAGGCCGCCATGTTGTCGCATCGTATAACATGGCGGATGCATTTCGTGGAATTCTTGCACGTATGAAATTTTGATTATTTTGATTATTATTATTTATTTTTTTTTTGCATGAGAGTACCTGTATTTTACACAATATTTTACCGAAAATCAAGTAGTCCGCTAAGACTAAGAAATAATTGTAACCAACTACCTACGAGTGAATACAGAACGTTTCAAAGAATCTTTAGTAAATAGCTTAATTTTAGACATAATTTATTTGTTAAATAGTAATATTTTGTTAATATTTTATAATATTTACTGTATAAAATTAGATGTATGTAATAATTAGTATGTATTTTTACTGATTGATAAAGACAATATTTATTATTATTTTACCCAAAACGATTTCATGACTGCATATAGTGATTGAAAACGATGACGATTAATAAAGACTTTATCATTATTTATTATTATTTTACCCATGCAAAACGATTTCATGACTTCATATTGATTGAAAACGATGACGATTCCAATTAGTATTAAAGGGCCAAGGTCAGCCGGCAGTCCTTGCGGCCATGGCAAATGAGACGAGTCAAATATCTATTCCCAAACTGTTTATATCCTTTGTTTTCAAATTCAAATATTACAATATTATATCTCCATTCATTGAACTTAACAGGATAATAAGGAGTAAGTTTTTGCTTATATTACGATGTATTTTTATTTCAAACATGACGACGAAATGTCGTAAGTGATGGCAGTGTTCATGTTACATTCTCTGAAAATTGCATATATCTAACAGTAGCTATAGTAAATTTGGGTATAGCAAATACTAAAATAATGCTTTTGACTTCATTATTGGCCTATCTCTTAAAATTTATCTTAAGATTCCCACGCTATTTTCCTTTTTCTTCGACTTGAACATCTTCTTCTCCATCTTCTTCTTCTTTAATCTTTTGTTTTAGCACGAATTCAGTACTAGATATTTTTTCCGATTACCGCTATCCCGGCCTCTTACAGACGTGAGAAAGTATGTCTAACAATGAGCATAGTACTCGATAAAGCTTAAGTGCGAGTATCATATTTAAGACTGCTGAAGAAAACCAAGGCAACTCTTGATATTGATATTGACGTCACTCCATATTTCCTATAAACACATACTTAAGCCTTACAGGRGTTAATATATTGCAATGCCAAAACACGACATACAAAAAAAAAACTAAATCGTAATGGATATAGTGCTAATTTATCAGAGTGTTATAATCAAGGGTGGTTATATATGGGAGTGTTTAGAAGGCTAGTCAACCTCMTTTTTAGGGCTCAAAAATATAGAGATGTGAATTAGCGATAGAAGAAATTAAATATGAATGGAAGTTATTTTGACAAACAAGAAAAGCAGCGTATCACGCGAAAGAAATTTCATTTTCTGGATCCCTAAATATATCATTCAAATATGCTTTTTCTTGTAGCCGTCCCTTTTGCGACGTTCTGATGAATCCTCCACTTTAGTAATACATATTAGGAGTCACGCAGAGAGCTATATAAAGCTTTAGTTAAAATAACAGAGAAATTTGAGTAATATAGAAWAAAGCTTTCCCATCGAGGCTTTTAGGCTTAGTCTTAATTTAAGGAACTACCGGATGCTGAAAGCCCACTTTGTACAATTTGTCATTTTTTGTCAGGCTGTTCTTAAATTCGAATTAGTTCATTTAAAWACAACAGTTATATATATACATCGACTTTTTTAACAATTAATACATACTATTGAAATATAAGATCTACTTTTCTGAAGAGCTTTGAAGTAGACRCGGGGTATATATTGGTTTTTAACTCTAGGGTGATACTCGATGATGYAAAAAGACGGAATGCGGATCTTATCAAGCGTTCAGTTGAGATTATTTACTAATGTTAGTACTAGTTAAGGTGGCTGTATCATCAATTGTTGTGATAAGGTGGTTTTGACCCAATTTCTCGGATATGAGAGTRAGGATACGTAGCTAGTAGAGTGGTTGATTTTTGAAAGTACTTGAAGAGTTTAATAAGATGTGCGCGCTGGTGCGTCTAATCAGTCTTCAAGTTGGTGGTTAACGTTTGAGCTATGGCCGAGTCGCAGGTTGTGCCAAACGGGCTTTTAATTTAGCTTGTAAAGTCTTTGAATTTTACATGGTGAAATACATTTGATTGCTTGCTTGTTTGCCTGCTTGCCATTGATAAGAATTCTTAACAAGATAGACTCTCAGATTCTTTGCGAGTACAAAGTAAAAAAACACATAACGTGACTACACTAATTTCTTTTTAGTTTGAAAGCGAAAAATCGGCTTCCTTTCAACAAAAATCATAATAGCAACAATTACTTAAGTGTGAATTTCTGTTCGCACTTCTGCATGAGATAATTTCTACTTTATTTACAGCACAGCCAATCAAAARTGACTTTATGAATAATATTATACAACATATGGCTCGTGAGAATTTTAAATTCTAAAAAAATAGGCAGTTGCGACGGAAAGTTCTTTGGCTATAAATATATAATGCCATGTAATTGGAACAAGAGCCATTTAATATAAGATTGGATAATTTCAATAAACATTGAATTCTCATTTTATTAGTTTGAATTTATAATTTCTTAGCGGAATATTTTGAAAATAAACTGGGATGCAAATGACATTTTCGTTGTCTATCGGTGTCTTTTTAAGCTGGATTGAATGTCTCGCGCTTTTGAATACTATCAAAGCAGCAAAGCTTTTGCAATTTCTCTATTCATGAGATTATCATTTTCTATTAAATTGATTTTTAAACATTATTACATTTACTACTCTTAGTATAAATTATACAACGTTTTGCAAAAAATAAATAAATAAAAATAAAATAAATAAAGATAAATAAATTGAAGTCGGCAATATCTATGTATACATGTCAGAATAGTGGTGTGTTGTGGGTATTTTCTTAAAAGGAGATTAATTATAAGAAACAATTTAGAAAAACAATTCAGAATGAAAAGAAGGCTCAAAATACTCAGTTACTGCGCTGATAAGTTAGTGTTATTGCTATGATTAATTATCATAAAAAATRCCAGTATTATGCAAATTACAACACTTCTAAATCTGAATGCCTATATAATCATTATATATCGATCGATATTTCTAACTTTCTTTTTTTTTTTGCAAAACTCTTTGAGACATCATATGATGTGATTATTATTATTTTGTGCATTTTTCCTACGAATTGCCGTCAACATCTGCACTGCTGCTCTTCGCATTTCTTGAATTCTCCAAAAATATATTATCGGGTTAATGGCACTGTTCACCATKACCAGAGTCTGTAGAAAGTGACTTACGTCCACCAGATCTTTTCCCGTCGATTGCTTGATTATGTACAGAATATAGCTTGGGTAGTAACAGATTATAAACGCTCCGAGTATGTAGTACATAATATTTATGGAAGCCTTGATGTTCGTGGGAGATTGTACCGTCGAATGGACAGATTGTTGTTGTGCRAGGATCTGYTCCGCGTGCTCACGCGCAACACACGATATCTTAAGCATCAAAATAATATTTAGTAGTAAAACTAAACTCATAAAAGCGTCTTCAATTCTGAAAATGATGATACTATTCGCCGTTTTGCGAATGAAATACATTRCTACACTTGCTATCCAAATTAGCAACACAGTCAGGGAAGCCCGAGTAATTGTCACAAGCTCTTGATACCTCAAATGCAGGAACACAGCAAGGAAGCGATCCACAGTGATAACAGTAACAGTAAAGAGAGAAGCAGTTATAAGGATTTGATAGGCACCCTCGTGAACCGCAGTAGCAACTGAAAAAAGATGTTTATTTTCRGTRAGAASTAATCTCATACAGTATGTCGGTTGAACAACTRCTCCAACACCAAAGTCAGTCACAGCCAAGCTCAGAATAAGTATAAAAGAAGTTGTTCGTAGTGATGGCGTCTTCACAAAAGTCAAGATGATCAAGAAGTTCAAAACTGTCGCTACAAAACCGCTCAAACTGTTAATGACGATCAGCGTCAGTACAATGTCGGCCATTTGTGAAGGAGTTGCGGTCGTTGAATTGTTCATMTTGAATCGCGCACTTCTAACATAAACAAAACGCAGAGATTTGTTAAATCAAAATAGAACAGCAAATACCCTGTTTATATCCACTTTAGGTGTCTTCAACGGAAGGATTTTTCAGCTGCTTTACGAAAGCGCCCAAGTTATTATTTTCCGAGTTTCAGTTTCAAACTGTCAAATCCACTTTCAGATCTGGCAAATTGAAGTTGTTGGCGTCATCTCGCAGCAAGAAGCAAAAAGGTTATTTGACAATGAATTAAGTAGAATGTAGATCACTTTTTAGATAAACTCTATTGTAAATCCTGCAGAGTGTCCAATATTCAAGTACTCTCAAAGGAAATGTTGAAGTTTTTTCACTGCGTGATCGATGAAATGACTCCAATGTTCTTTTACCTCGAAAGTGACGTCAAGAGCTGTCAGACTCGAGGTTCGCCGTCGCTTCCATGGATACCAATGTCAAATTATAGCCGTCTCTTTAACTTTCCTCTTTTTCATCGCAAAAACAACTGGGAAGCTTTTATGGATAGGATTTGAAACGAGCTTTAAATGTATTAAACCGACAACGTATTTTTTATCTCAAGTCTAATAGGATCTAACGTTTGAACTGAGTGCTAAGGCTTAATGATASCGAGCTCTTTTAAAAGGCGGGCTAACTCTAATGAAGAATCCATTTTTTTTCCAATGTGTTCCGTGCACGAAAACAGTCTTCACGTCACCTAATTAAACCATAAGCTTGGCATATGGCATATTATTGGTAATGGGATCCCCAAACATCTTTTCGGTATTTCGTGTTATTAAAATCCAAGAAGGCCACTTGGGATTATAAAACTTTAATGATCTGYCAGGCTTCCTTTGCATTTTAATCTTGTAAAGTACACAAATCAGAGAAGAAGCACTGGGCTTTTGTAAATTGAAAAAGGTGGTGGTTGTGGTTAGAATTGTTATGAATATTGATATAGATATATTTTCGTCTGTGTGGGTTAGATACAGCGGCATATTACACGCCGTCAAAGCACCTGCTGATCAGTTTTCAATGTATTCATAGGGTCTGCGATAAAGTCATCTAGTCATGCAGAGCGAATTTGTTCATTTTTTTCATAACAATTTAAAAACAAACCCAAATCTACTAACGCGCTGCCGAGTCTACATCCAACTCAAATAAACAAGGAATATAAATAAAAATCTCAATCGGATTTAAGATATGATACAGGCGAGCGCTTGGAACACGACCGCATTGATCTTTGGGTACAATTCGGAATTCTTGGCTTGCGCGTGACGTCACTGGACTTTCTAAATAAGGGCATCCGCACCATTTTGATGTCCCTCCGAGTGTAAAATGTATTGAAAAATATGCTAAGTGAAGCCATTTCTCAAGTATTATCAAGTGTATTTCGCTGTATTTTTGTTTAAAACATCGATAATTGACAATACCTGACTGTGTTATCAAAGTATGCTGAAGGCCTCTAGAAAGTCGTTTAAAAGCTCGTTACCTCGAAAAAATCAAGCAAATTGGCATCGATCCGGAAAGTATTTCCTTGTCACCTTGGTCTGATACTTGTTCCCAGTCTCTTAGTTTCAATTTGACATGCTCAATAGGCCCTGCTCTGCATAAAACGGTCACATGGTACTAAATCCGCCATACTGGATTGGCAAAATAATGTAAACAGCTTCAAAAACAAAAGCTTCAAAATAAAGCAATATCACTAATAAGAGCCCATTACTAATCGGGGGGGGGGGGGGGGGGGGGCGGTTACTCAACCCCATTTTGGAAAGGTATGTGCCGCCAGCGGTCTAAATCCCTGACCCTTTTTAAGACACTAGAAAGTGAAAATCCATACCCTGTTCAAGACAAATCGGAAAAATAAGGAATAGCAATCTGCGCCGCAACCATCAAAAGTGCAATTATACTGACATCCATCAAAGACAATAAGTAATTTTTGATAACACGTTAATCCTGGGACAGTGAAACGGT